GGGAGGCCCTCTCTGTGTTCACTAGTTCTCCCTAAGGGATTTAGGAGGAGACAGCCTGAAATCTCCAGACTCCATGGGTGCTGAGTCACAGGGTGCTGGGGTAGACAAGCACCCCATTATGGCCCCCAGCTCTCTGCAGTTCACAAAAGAGAGAGAAGGCAACCAGGGGCCAGAATTTCACCACAAATCCACATGGGCTCCCGACGGCTCTGCTCATCCATGCAAATCCCAGCTGTGAGCCAGGTGGGTGGAGTAGACCCCAAACTCTCTTGGGCACACTGACATCCAGACCATGGAACCTTAGGCCTCCTGGTCCACCCAAATTCACTCCACCCTGACCCGGCCAACACAGGAAGTCCCACTTTTGTCTGACTTCATTCCTACACGGTTCACCTTAAGCCATTTTCTCCTCCTTCAGAGCAAGCCCTGTACCACAAAAGCCCATGGCGGTTCCTTTGATGACAGGGACAATTAGAGGGGAGAATGAAGTGCAGTGGTCCCTGGGGAGGGCTTAGCATGATGCAGAGGGAGCTGCAGGTCCTGCTGGCCTCCTCCCCACCCCAGCACTGATTAATCATTCCTTGGCGCATTTATAGAGCACTTATTGCCTACCGAGTCCTTCACAGGCTTTGTGCCTATGCCGTGGCCACTTTAATGCTGTTTGGGGAAAGTCACACCACATGACCTCCCTTCCCTGGAGCTTCCCCACCAGAAGGCTGGCGCCCACCCACGTCCTCAGCCACAAGTCACCCTTGTATATTTTTCTTTATTTTTTGGTCCCAGGGATCGAACCCAGCCCCTTTTTGCTGGAGCGCCATCCTCAGCCCTCCCCCCACTTTTTTTTTTTAGAACTGGGGATTGAACTCAGTCCTTTGCACTTGCCAGGCAAGCACTTATTCTACTGAGCCATCTCCCGGGCCCCCTGTTTTCTCAACAGATGCTAAGTGAAGGAGCGATGGAAGGCATTAGGAAAACTGGCTGGGCTCTGGCCACCTCTCACCCTCTTGCCATGCCCAGGGCTTGCTGTTCCCCTGTGCCTTTCCAGTCCTGGCCTAGGTGTGTGTGCACATGTGCTCTGTGTGTGTGTGTGTGTGTGTGTGTGTTGTGTCTGTGCAAGGGCCATGGTGGAGTGCCACATGGTCAGTTCTCCCGCCCTCCAGGCGACACCACACCCAGCCAGCCACTGCCAGGCCAGCTGCTGACCGCTCCTTGCCCCCTGCCGCCTGCCAGGGACAGCTTGTCCTCAGAGCCATTGCTCTAGATTTTATTTTTGTGGTTTTCTCTCAGCCGGCTGAGCCCCGCCCTCCTTCATGTCCGTTGTGCAGTGGCAGGAAAATCCTGGAACTGGAGGAACCAGAAGATTTTCTCAGGCCACATGACCAGGGCTGCCCAGGGACGGCCCAGTGCCCAGCCCATGGTGCTCAGTGCTGCGTGTCCCAGTCGGGAAAGAGGGGCCCGGAGCTTGCCAGAGCCTGTCACATCTGATCGGGCCTATGAGCTGGACCGCTGTGTGAAAAGACCGCAGAACGAGGTGATGTATGCAGCTCAGAACAGGAGACTGAGGTGGCTGTGGGGGAATGCTCCAGGCATCCCGAACTCTGGGAGGCTGAGCCAAGAAGATCACAGATTCAAGCCCAGCTCGGTATCACTCAGCAAGAAACTGTCTTAAATTTTTTTTTTAGGGGCTGGGGAGATGGCTCAGTTGAATAAACGCTTCCCTGGCAAGTTCAAGGGCCTGAGTTCGATGCCCGGTTCTGAAAAAAAAAAAAATTTTAAAGGGCTGGGGGGGTGGGGGCTCAGTGGTCTAAGGTTTCACCTGGCAAGCTCAAGGACTGGAGTTCAATCCCCAATACCACATGCCATGCAGGCCCTGCATACCGAGCTGGCCCCAAAACGCTAGGGAGGCTGAGACAGAAGGATCATTGTGACCCGGCACCAAATAAATAAATAAATAAATAAACGAATAACCTTTATTTTTTTTTATTTATGTGTGTGTGTGTGTGTGTGTGTGGGCCAGCTCAGCCCACCAGGGGGCGGGGCTGGCTGGCATGTGGTGCTGGGGGATTGAACCCAGGTCCCAGTGCTCTGCCAAGCTTGTTCTAAGTAGGTGCTTTAGACCACTGAGCCATCTCACCAGCCCCCGAATAACCTTTATTTTTTTTTACATTTATTTATTTATTTATTTATTTATTTTGTGTGTGGCCAGCTCAGCCCACCAGGGGGCGGGCGGGCTGGCATGTGGTGCTGGGGGATTGAACCGAGGTCCCTGTGCTTTGCTTGGCTTAGCTTGTTCTCAGTAGGTGCTTTAGACCACTGAACCATCTCACCAGCCCCCCGAATAACCTTTAAAAAAGGGGGGTGAAGGGAGGCTGGTGATTTAGCTTAGGGTGAAGGCCGTGGTTCATCTTCAGTATCACCAAAAATAAAAAGCTGCAGAGGCTTCCTGTTTTGGGGGCCCAGGCACCCCAGCATGATTAGCACGTCCTTTCTCTTCTCACTCATTTCCTACCAGGGTCTTGCAGGAATCTGAGGTAAGCCCTCCCAGCTTCAGGAAGCGAGCTCTAGCTCGGTGTGGTGGCTCTAGCCCGGTGTGGTGGCTCTAGCTCGGTGCGGTGGCTCTAGCCAGGTAATCCCAAGGAGGTAAAAGGAGGAAGATCATTACGAGTTCGAGTTCAGCCAGGGCTACAAAGTGAACTCAAGGCCAGCCTGAACTGCATAGTTAGATTCTGCTTCAAAATGACAAAAGAAAGGGGGGTCTGGGAGATGGCTCAGTGGAATAAACGCTTCCCTGGCAAGCACAAGGCTCTGAGAGGACACTAGCCAGAAAACCCAAGCCTGTAGGTTCCCAACCACGCCCATCTAGGGCCAAAGCCACACCCTCCAGTCACCGCGTTCCACACCCTCAGACACCAAACTCTGCCCTCCTGACAGCAACCCTGTACCCCCCCTCTTTTTTTTCCTTTCGGAATCGAGGATTGAACTCAGGATCCTACGCTTGCCAGGAGCACTTATTCTACTGAGCACTTATTCTACTGAGCAATCTCCCCTGCCCTAAGATATCTCCCCGCCCTCTTGCACCCCTTCAAAACACAGCAATAATCGGACACGGGGCATAAGTCAGCGGCGCAGCACCTGGCTGGCAAGGACGAGGTCCTGAGCAACATTTCCAGTACTCCTCCCCTTAAAACATCAAACAGCAACAAAACTTGCCTCTCCACGATCAGGACGTACTGATCTACCTTCTAAGCCCCACCCACCGCGCTCCAAGCCACACCTACCTAAACAACGGTCCCACCCTCCAGGTTTCAGGCCCAACCCTCCAGCATCCACTTGAGTCAGCTCAGGTTTCAAGCCCCGCCCTAACCACGCCCACTCACAAAAAGCCACACCCTCAAGCTCCCTTGCTCTCTCCTTGCCCGCCATCTCGGGCAGTGGTTGCATCATCCCTTCTGTTCTGTGGCCTAGTCCTGTTGGAAATGGGTGGCTCTCAGAATCCAGTCAGGGTGGGGCCGAAAATAGAGACATACAGTGAAGTTGTTGTCTTTAACCACTGAACTACATTGTCCCTTCAGCACCAGCCTCCAGGATGCCATCTTTTTTTTTTTTTAATTTTATTTATTTGTGTGTGTGTGTGTGTGTGTGTGTGTGGCCAGCTCAGCCCACCAGGGGGCGGGGCTGGCTGGCATGTGGTGCTGGGGGATTGAA